GATCAGATAGGCAACAGTAATCCAAGAGAGAGATGACTGTGCCTTGAATCGGGATAGGGGAAGTGAAGATGAATAAAAGCAGATAGATTAGGAAGATATATTAGAGAAAAAATTGATCATTTTTATACCTAAATGCACTTTCCAGGTGGCACTAGAGGTAAAGAATTTGCCTGAAATGCAAAATATGCAGGAGACATTGGGAACAATTCTAATTTCTTGGTATGTGCAGTGGGATGACAGGTGATGCTATTCACATTCTTAAAGACTGGAAAAAGAGCAAATTACAGGGCAAGAGAGAGTTCAAATTAGGCTATGTCAAGCATGAGGTGCCTCTGAAGCATCCGCGTGAAAACTGTTTAGCTAGCATATGGAAAAGTGGTCCCATAAATGGAGAAAGTAGCATAGAAACATATACACTAACATATGTAAAATAGATAGCCACTGGGAATTTGCTCTGTGACTCAGGGAACTCAAATTGGGGCTCTGTGACAACCTAGAAGGTGGGATGGGGTGGGAGGGAAGTTCAAGAGGGAGAAGACGTATGTATACCTATGGCTGATCCATGTTGATGTATGGCAAAAACCAACACAGTATTGTAATTATCCTTCAATTAAAATTTTTTTCAAAAAAGTAGTCCCAGAGAGCAAAGAAGCAATCTGAAGACAAAACAATAAATGACCTGTATATTATTTGATCATCTAGCTTATACAATTTGTTGGCATATAATTGTTCTAGTTATTTCTTATGATTCTGTGTATTTTGATGGTATCAGTTGTGATGCCTCTTTCTTTTAGATTTTACTTTTTTGAGTCCTCTCTCTTTTTTCTTAGTTTAGCTAAAGATTTGTCAATTTTGTATATCTGTTCAAAAACTTAGTTTTGGGTTTCTCATATTGTTTTTTTTCTGGTTTCCATTTTATTTATTCCACTCTGATTTTGTTATTGTATCCCTTCTGTTAACTTTGCATTTAATCTTTTCTTCTGCTGATTCCTGGAGGTATACAGTTAGGTTGTTTATTTGAGATCTTTTTTTTTTTTTAATCTCTGAATTTATTGCTATAATCTTTCCTCTTAGAACTGCTTTTGCAGCATCCCCTAGGTTTTGGTATGCTGTGTTTCCATTTTCATTTGTTTCATATCTTTGAATATCAAATGTATTTTACTTCCTTTCTTTATTTTGTTCTATTGCTTGAACTCTAGTAAAATGTTGGATAGAAGAGTGAACAATTGATGTTTTTGTCTTATCCTTGTGGAGAATGATTTTAATATTTCATCAATAAATAGGATGTTAGCTTCAGGGAATTTTTAGTATCAAGTTAAGGAAATTCCCTTCCAAATTTAGCTTACTTTGTTTTTATCATGAATGGATGTTTAATTGAACAATTTTTTTCTTTGTCTATTGAAATAATCTTATGATTTTTCTTCTCTTTAAATTTATTTCATGGTATTCTAAATTGAAAACATTTTGTGTTCTCACTAACCTTGAATTCCCAGAATAAATCCCACTTGGTTTTAATTTATTATCATATAACCTTTGGCATATACATGTACACACACACAAATGCTTACGGGGATTTTTATGTAACTGATTAAATTTCTTAATAGGTTTATAACTACTATGACTTTCCACTTCTTCTTAGATCAATTGTATTGTTTTAAATATATATCTATTTCATATACATTTTAAAGAGCATTGGCATAAGTTAGTTTCTAATATTCCATTACTGTTTATTTTGGCAAATGTATTTGCATTTGAGAAATAAAAACTGCTTTAAAACTATTGGATATTATTTTCTGTATTGACCAATTGGGTTAAAATGCTTATCTTCTTCAGACCTTCTGCAGCCATTTAGAGCTTTCTAGCTCTTTGTTTTTCACGTACTGGGAGCACATGTTGAAAGATCTATAATTTCACTGTGGATTAGTGATTTCTCCTTCTAGTTCTAACATTTTCTTCTATGTATGTGTGTATATAAGCATAGATGTCTGTAATTATATTAAGTACAAGTGAATTTAGTTATTTTATGTTTTCCTGTTGAATTATTACTATAAATATTACAGGATGCTTCACTTTATCACACCTAATATTTGTTGTGTTAAAATCATCACATTTAATATTTATTGTGTTAAAATCTACTTTGCTATAGCCACACAAACTTTTCCTGTATTTATATATACATGTTTTTAAGTCACATATATTTTTATTGAGGATATTTTCTCATCTTTTATTTCATTTTCTTTCAATTGTTTAGTCAAATTTCATTATTATAATTGACTTTTGTTTTCAAATTTACTGGTGTACCGTGTTCCTATTGTTTTAATTTAGTCTCACCTATGTTCTTTTTCTTTTGTTCTTCTTGCTACTTTTGGACCGATGAACTAGCTGTTATTATTTTTATTGTTGCAATTTTCTCCAACTTTGGTTTTTGTTATGTATTCCTTTATGTTGGTACAAAGATTAACTTAGATTTTGCAATATACATCCTTTAATTATCAATGTATGTAAAACAGTACACTTATCACTTTAACTGTGTTAGCATATTACAAGATTTTAATTCCATTAACTTCTTCCCTGCCATTTGTGTAATTATTACTATATATATTTTACCTCTACATTTGTTTAGACTTTAGTATATGTTTAGACATTAGTATATGTTCTTCAAATTACTCTTATTTTTTTTCTGGTGGTTTTATTAAATTCTGTTATTCTGTCTTCCATGAGTAATCACTATTCTATATTCAAATAACATATTTTGTCTATATTAATAAACATTTATCTTATTTTTGAAGGATATTTTCATCAGATTATAATCCTAAATTGAAATAATTTTTCAGTACTCCAGCAATATAATTTCATTGTCTTCTGGTTTCCATAATTTTTATTGAAAAGATGGCCACCAATCTAAAGACTGCTTCATTAAAGGCAATGTGCAGAGATTATGAGTAGGAAAACCCACTTCTCTGCATATATTTGAAATAATATATCACATTCCATGTTTCATGAATATGTACCCATGTGTATATATGTCTGATATATGTGTTCATATGAGAAAAATGTTCATCATAGCATTATTTCTGGTGACAGAGAGAAGAAAAAAGCTTAGCTATCCATAGTCAGGAAATGATCAAGAAAATAGTGTTGGTTGCATGTTATGAAAGTCTATAAAATAATTAGAAGCAAGAAATGAAGTACAGATAATAGCAAAAGTATATTTCAAAAAATTCAGTTAAAAGTAAATGATGTTTAATACAGTAAAAATGGATATGTTTCTAAAATAAACATTCAGTAAATGTCTTATTGTAAGTCATTTACAAATCAAAGAACATGTCAAACACACCATAGTGGTTGCTATGACTGACAGGACTGAGAATTAGGACTGAAATAAGCACATTAAAGTAAAAACAGAACAGGAAATGGTCCCAGAAATGACACAGTTAATGTGCCATTAATAAAAAGGTATCATGAAACTTACTTCACCTTGAACACACACCTGAGTTTAATAAATTTATTAATGAGTTTATCAACTTGGGAGTCATCAGCATACAATGATATTTATAGCCATTTATACTGAAAGGCCTAGGAAAAGAGTGCAAAATGGAGAGACCTGAAACCATGGTAAATCCAGAAGAAAACAACAGGCAAATGACACTGTTGAAAATGTTCAGTGATAATGAAAAACAACTTGGAATGTGTGGCACTTGAGAAGTCAAACAAAGAAAGTGTTTCTAGACAAAGAGATGAATCAATTATATTCAGTAGAGATGAAAACTATGACAAGGTTGACATAGAGAAAGACCTACTAAGTTTAATATAAAGTCATTGGTGTAACTGACAAAAACAATTTCAGTGAAATGCTGAAGTGGAGGGAATTCTGGAAAAAGCCAGAGGTTGGGAAGAATATTTTGGGATGAACAAGTGGAGAGAATGAATACTGGCAATCTTTAATACATTTTACTATCCAGATGAACACAGAAATTAAATATGCAAATAGGATGATTTTGTGATTTTTTATGCATTTATAAAATGAAAAATACTAAAAGATAAATTAGAGAATGGAAATAAATTAGTGTAAATTAGTAGCATCAGGGGAAAGTAATTTAGAATTTTGGAAGCTGGTTAAGGAGAATCAACTTTGAAATTCTTTTTATGATATCTGTGACAATGCTATAAAAATACATTCATAATCTCTCACCTTCATTTTAATTTAGGAAGATGTTGAATATTTTTCAGAAAATGTTCAATTAATTTTATTGTTCAATCTCTTTTTATTTCAGCTCAAAAGCAAAAAGATAAACATTGCTGTGTATAACCCTGTAGTCATAGAAGTACACTTATTATAATATGTTATAAATCTCATTACTCTACTTCTCCCTCCAATATGTGCAAACTTTTAGAGTCTTTTTGAAAAAAGAGACAAAACATTCATTGAGAAGCAAGCAATTATGAGAAAAATTCATACAAGAAGATACCTGGTCAGATTCCAGGTCACTATGTTTCTCATAAGACACAGAGGCTTACAACTCAAAATATTATTGACCTTGTGGTATACTTTACAGTCTTGTCTTTAAGAAGTTGTTGAGAAAGCAGAAGATTTTATGGAATAAAGTAAATATACAGTGGTTTTTCCATGGTTAAGTCAGCTATTATGTTGAAATTTCATTCACAATTAAAAACAGCAGTTTCAGTCATCTGGTTCCAGATCATTGCTTTCGCCTAATTCAGTTTTCTGGAAAATTGCACCAGCTTCCATTAGTATTTTTTCATTTTTGGAAGTTGACATTATTGAGATATGAATTATACAGAGAACCTAGAGGTGAAAAACTCATGTGGATGGTGATTGGACATGAAAACTTTTAGAATTCTGCAAAAAAAAAAAAAAAAACACAAAAAAATAAGGAGATGGATTATTATCCACTCATTTGGCAAATTCAGATACCTATTCTTAGAAAGCTTTCTCCTTAGACAAACAGACAGGAACCTTCTTTCCTTTCACATCTCATCATAGGCAAATAGCTCTTTCATACACTATGGGGTTTGATATACTTGGAACCTGAAAGAATCCTTATGACGCAGTCTCGTATCTGCTTAGTTTTCACCCCATAGACAACAGGATTCATAGTGGGAGGTAGGAGCAGATAAATATTGGCCACAATGATGTGGCATGAAGGAGGAATCCTGTGACCCCCAAAGCGGTGGGAAAAGAATGAAAAGAAAGCTGGACTATAGGAGAAAACAATGGAACAGATGTGGGCAGTGCAGGTGCTGAAGGCCTTCCGCCGAGCATCTGCAGAGGAGAGGCTGATCACTGCCCTCAGGATCATTGTGTAGGAGATTGTGATGCAGAAGATGTCAAAGCCCCCAATCAGGAGGGCTACCATCAGACCATAGATAACATTGACCTTGATGTTGCCACAAGACAACTTGGCCACAGACATGTGATCACAGTAAGTATGGGGGATTACATTGCCTCTGCAGTAGGGCAGGCGCTTGGTGAGGAAAGTGAAGGGAATGATGAGCAACACCCCTCTGAGAAAGGTGGAGAGACCCGCCTTTGCAATGACGGGATTTGTGAGGATAGTTGAGTAGCGCAGAGGGTAGCAGATGGCCACGTAGCGGTCCAGGGCCATGAGCATGAGCACCCCAGACTCCATCCCTGTTAAGGTGTGGACGAAGAACATCTGGATCAGGCATCCATCAAAGCTGATTTCCTTGAAATGGAACCAGAAGATGCTGAGGGCTTTGGGGATTGTACTAGAGCTAATGAAAAGGCCAGTTATGAAAAGCATGGCCAAAAAGTAGTACATGGGTTTGTGCAGGGCATCCTCATAGCAGATGAGGTAGAGGAGTCCACAGTTCCCCACCACAGCCACAACATACATGGAGCAGAATGGGAGGGAAATCCACACGTGCATGTCCTCCAGCCCTGGGATCCCATTAAGAATGAAGGAGGCTGGTGTCACATCTGTTTGGTTCAGCATCATCATGGTCAGGCTGGTATAGTCACTAAGCAAAGTGTATGTTCTTAGTTTTATGTCTGTATTGCTTTGTTCTTTAACCCTCCTAGATTTGGAAAAACAGAAAAAAAAAGTCTCAGTTGTGGATCTTCTCTCTCTCTCTGTCTCTTGTCTCTGTTCAGTATTGCACTTTAAATCACGGAACCAAAAAATTTAAATGTCAGGAATTTACAGTAGAAACATAGTTTAAACACATAATTGGCTCATACTCATGCTTAATATACACCAAGCACAGCCTTAGAATTTCATAAATATTAACTCATTTAATCCTCACTACAAGATCATGAAGTCTTTTTTCTATTAATCTGCATTCTGTAACTGAGTAAATGGAGATCCGATGTATATGAGGTTTCTCCATGTGCAACTTTTTTTTCAAAGGCTTTCTCAATCTCTTGGCCTCAGTTATAGCTATTAAGAGGACCATTGCGATTTTGATCCTTTTTAAATTAACTCCTTTTTTTTTAATGCGGGCTAATTACTTTCCAATATTGTAATGGTTTTTGCCATACATTGACATTAATCAGCCATGGGTGTACAAGTGTCCCCCATCCTGAAACCCCCTCCCACCTCCCTCCCCATCCCATCCCTCAGGGTCATCCCAGTGCACCGGCCCTGAGCACCCTGTCTCATGCATTGAACCTGGACTGGCGATCTATTTCATATATGGTAAATACATGTTTCAGTGCTATTCTCTCATATCATTCCACTGTCGCCTTCTCCCACAGAATTCAAAAGTCTGTTCTTTACATCTGTGTTGCTTTTGCTGTCTCACATGTAGGGTCATCGTTATCATCTCTATAAATTCCATATATATGCACTAATATACTGCATTGGTGTTTTTCTTTCTGACTTACTTCACTCTGTATAATAGGTTCCAGTTTCAATCACCTCATTAGAACTGATTCAAATGCATTCTTTGTAATAGCTGAGTAATATTCCATGGTGTATACGTACCAGAACTTCCTTATCCATTCATCTGCCAATGGACATCTAGGTTGCGTCCATGTCCTAGCTATTGTAAACATGCTGTGATGAACACTGGGGTGCACATGTCTCTTTCCATTCTGGTTTCCTTGGTGTGTGTGCACAGCAGTGGGATTGCTGGGCCACATGGCAGTTCTATTTCCAGTTTTTTAAGAAATCTCCACACTGTTCTCCATAGTGGCTGTACTAGTTTGCATTCCCACCAACAGTGTAAGAGGGTTCCCTTTTCTCCACACCCAAAGCTGGTTCTTGAGAAGATAAATAAGACAGACAAACAATTAGCCAGGCTCATCAAGAAAAAAAGGGAGAAGAAGCAAATCAACAAAATTAGAAATGAAAATGGAGAAATCACAACAGACAACACAGAAATACAAAGAATCATAAGAGACTATTATCAGCAACTTATGCAAATAAAATGGACAACTTGGAAGAAATGGACAAATTCTTAGAAAAGTACAACTTTCCAAAATTGAACCAGGAAGAAATAGAAAATCTTAACAGACCCATCAAAAGCATGGAAATTGAAACTGTAATCAGAAATCTTCCAGCAAACAAAAACCCAGAACCAGACAGCTTCACAGATGAATTCTACCAAAAATTTAGAGAACTAACACCTATACTACTCAAACTCTTCCAGAAAATTGCAGAGGAAGGTAAANAGGGGGCTTCCCTGGTAACTCAGCTGGTAAAGAATCCACCTGCAACAAGGGAGACCTGTGTTCAACCCCTGGGCTGGGAAGATCCCCAGGAGGAAGGCATGACAACCCACTCCAATATTCTTGCCTGGAGAATCTCATAGACAGGGAAGCCTGGCAGGCTACAGTCCATGAGTTCCAAGGGTTTGCAAAGAGTTGGACACGACTGAACGGTTAAGTACAGCACAGCAAGAGACTCTAGGGGCTTTCCAGGCAGAGCTAAAGAACCGGCCTGTCAATGCCGAAAACGTAAGGAGGCAGGTTCAAGCCCTAGGTCTGGAAGATACCCTGGAGGAGGACACGGCAACCTATTCCAGTATTCTTGCCTGGAGAATCTCTTGGACAGAGGAGCCTGGTGGGCTAAAGGGTCGCAAAGAGCTGGACACAACTGAAGCGACTTACGCGCGCGAATGCGTGCGCGCACACATGAGACTACAGAAAAGTAATTCAAAATTCCAGGTGATGAGTGAACCTCATCAATTGGTTTCATTTACTTTGAGTGCTCAAGTAGAGACCTCTGCCTCTTTCAAGGCATTTTGGGTATCAGATTCAAAGTTTTTTTTTGTTTTTTGTTTTTTTTATTCAGTGACTAAATTTTTCTGGGAAGGAAAAATACAGTAATCTGTATCCCAAAGGATTATGTAATTGGTTGCCTGTGTTTTTGGAGTTAAGTAGTAGGCTACTAAAGATCTCACACTTGAATATGAATACTGGCTCCAGCCTTCACATTTGATGATGTTGATCTTTGATCTTTGTCACACTGTATATATGTATTCGTAGAACATGTTAAAATTTCTTCCCAGGATAAATTTCCAGTCAGTATAAGAGAAGAAGTAATATTTAGAATAACGTGTGAATCAGAGGTATCAAATATTTCCTTAGTAAGTTTTTCTGCCTATGTCTTGGTTTTATTTTCATGTATTTGCACATAGGATAACAGATTAAATATTGCAAAAGGAAACTTTTTTGGAAACAGTAAAGCAACATGGAATAAACATGTTCATAACAGAGTTCTTCAAAGACCTCTTCTTATGCCATTACAGAAATCTTACAGTCAAATAAGAGCAGGTAGAAATGAAAACTAAATAAATATTGAGTTATATTAGGAAAATTTTCTAAAAGAAATTGACCATTTCTCTTAGATGTGAGGCATGCTTATATTTCTACCAGACCAAAATAAGCAGAGCAGTGTTCTTTCTTGTTGCTGTTCACTATTTCCTATTCAAATCATACTAACATTTTTAGTTTTGTGAATTTGCAATCTTTTCTCCTTTGTTGACATTCTCTTTGTCACAGCCAAAATAGCCTCTAGAATAACATTTTTCAGGAAAATCCCAGTCTCTTGATCAGGTTAGAGTGCCAAACTCTAAGTTTACATAATATATATTTGTTATATAAACATATACATACATTTTCTAATTTCATAGATTTGTTGATGAAATCAATTTTGTCACTATTTTACCTAAAAAGTATTATGAAAATATTATTATATAATCATCCAGTTTAATAAAACCCTTAATTCTAGAACAGATTGTATTTTAAACCTGAAGTATATAGCATGACACCTGCTAAATATGACATGCATGCCAATAAGTATTTTTCAAAGGATGAACAGATTAATGAATTATATTTTTTATACTTTAAGCATTATTAAACTAAACACTGTGGTCTAAATATTTTTACTTGGAAAACACAAAGGAACCACCAGGAGAAATGAAACCATAATTTATAGCTCATAAATCACTAGATATTCTAAATTTCAAAGAAGACCCATCATAAAGAAGAGAAAACAATCTCAAGAAAGTAGAAAAAAATAAGATGGTAGGCAAAAGAAAAATACATTGATTTGGTAAATAGGATCAATTATTTGGTAAATAAGATCAATGATACCATTTTGTTGTTGTCGTTGTTCAGCTGCTAAGTTGTGTTCAACTCTTTGCAACCCCATGGACTGCAGTATGCCAGGCCTCCTTGTCCCTCACAATTATACTATAAATTTATCTTAATTCAGAATCATTTTTAAAAACATGTATATTAAAATCAAGAAGTGTATCAGAAAGAAAAATCATGCTCAAAGTAGGCAGAAATGTTTTCATGCTAAACAGAAAACATTAAAATAGCAGAAACATACCATATATTAATTTCAAATAATGTAGAAATAAAAGCAAAGAAAATTTGGATCAAGTTCACATTTGGGAAAAATAAAAGAAGGTATGATGAAGTGCGAATAAGTTGATGTACCAAACAATTCCATTTCTAGGCTTGGCAAAGATTCTTCACAACCAGAACATTAGAGAGTACAGAAATAAGTTCTCTTACACACTTTGTTGGTCCACAGTAGGAGTTTTAAAATGGTACAATTCCTGAAATCACATTGCAGCTGATTAGCTGATTCTCAACTATATTTTAATGTCATTGGTGTTGCTTTAAAGTAATAATCAAAAGGTTAACAAACGCCTTAAACTTTGCATTTTGAAAAAAAGAATACTTTGGATTTGCAATTTTACAGTTGTTTTTCCATGAATACCAAAATTGCCAACAACTTTCTTTCTGGCTTCCCTGGAGGATCAGATAGTAAAGAACTTGCCACAAAAGCTCGAGACCTGAGTTCAGTCCTTGGGTAGGGATGATTCCCTGGGGTTGCAAAGAGTTGGACATGACTGAGCAACTAACATTTGACACTCTTTCTGTCAGGCTTGTAAAGGTACAATTGTTTGAATACATTCTGTTTTTCAAGTTACTTTCACAGATGTACTGAAAGAAATAGAAACACTATAAAAATCATACACATGTATACATGTGTATGTATAAATATAAAAGTGCCATTAGAATAGACATTGAAATTGATTTTTTTTAATGGAATTTATTTATTTATTTTTTTTTTAGTTGGAGGCTAATTACTTTACAATATTGTAGTGGTTTTTGTCATATATTGACAAGAATCAGCCATGGTTTTACATGTATTTTTTTGATAAATATGGTTGCATTATTCAGTTGCCGGTCATGCCATTTGCCACCACATGGGCTGCAGCATGCCAGGCCTCCCTGTCCCTCACCACCTCCTGAGGTCTGCCCAGGTTCACGTCCATTGTGTTGGTAATGACAAATATTTGAATAGTATATACTAAATTGTAATAAATTGTTGGAGAAATGGCATCACTACTCATTTATTCTTAATACATTTGAACAGTCAACTCTTAACTCTATGTAACCAATTAAAGAAATCAAGAAAAGTATAGGTATTTATGATTTAAAAACAGATGACACATTTCAAAGTGCTGCATTCTGAAGAATATCT